CCTAATTCATCAAACGACTAACAAAGTAGATTACTTCAAATACCACTATTGCCCTAAATCTTACTGCTGACCTAATTCAATCAAACACTAACAAAATAGATTACTTCAAATACCACTATTGCCCTAAATCTTACTGCTGACCTAATTCATCAAACACTAACAAAGTAGATTACTTCAAATACCACTATTGCCCTAAATCTTACTGCTGACCTAATTCATCAAACGCTAACAAAGTAGATTATTTCAAATATCACTATTGCCCTAAATCTTACTGCTGACTTAATTCATCAAACGTTAACAAAGTAGATTACTTCAAATATCACCATTGCTCTAAATATTACTGCTGACCTAATTCATCAAACACTAACAAAGTAGATTACTTCAAATACCACTATTGCCCTAAATCTTACTGCTGACCTAATTCATCAAACGCTAACAAAGTAGATTATTTCAAATATCACTATTGCCCTAAATGTTACTGCTGACTTAATTCATCAAACACTAACAAAATAGATTACTTCAAATATCACTATTGCCCTAAATCTTACTGCTGACCTAATTCATCAAACACTAACAAAGTAATTACTTCAAATACCACTACTGCCCTAAACCTTACTGCTGACTTAATTCATCAAACGCTAACAAAGTAGATTACTTCAAATACCACTACTGCCCTAAATCTTACTGCTGACCTAATTCATCAAACGCTAACAAAATAGATTACTTCAAATATCACCATTACCCTAAATGTTACTGCTGACCTAATTCATCAAACGCTAACAAAGTAGATTACTTCAAATACCACTACTGCCCTAAATCTTACTGCTGACTTAATTCATCAAACGTTAACAAAGTAGATTACTTCAAATATCACTATTGCCCTAAATCTTACTGCTGACCTAATTCATCAAACACTAACAAAATAGATTACTTCAAATATCACTACTGCCCTAAACCTTAATGCTGACTTAATTCATCAAACGTTAACAAAGTAGATTACTTCAAATACCACTACTGCCCTAAATCTTACTGCTGACCTAATTCATCAAACGCCAACAAAATAGATTACTTCAAATATCACTATTGCCCTAAATTTAAATATCATTAATCAAGTTTCTAAAGTTATCTTTCCCTTTGAATTAGACTTTTAACTTAAATGGTTAAAATAATTCCTTGCTCAAGTAATATCTGATTTAATTCTGTTCCTTCTGATGTCCGATTCATAGATACAGGAAAAAGTGTCATAAAATCAATATTCTAAAGGCTAGCACAGAAACATGTTTTTTTATTTTATTTTAATGTGTTTCTTTTATTAGGAGCATTAGTCATCATTAGTATCTACTAGTAATTTAACTACAATCGATTCAAAACCTTTTAGCTTTTCAAACAGTGCTAAACACTCACCTCGTCTTTCGGAAGAAGCACAAAAAGATAAAGCTGTCCATCAAACCATGCCGTAGAAAGATCAGCTACCTATAGAGGAACATCTGGACTTGTTACCTCGAACAGTTGACAGTTTACACGTAACTTATCATAGTCTGTACAAAAGTTGTACCAACATAATGCATTGGATAATGTTACGAAAGTAAAAAAAAAATTTACGTGTAGATACTTTATCATCAGTCTCATTGATCACCAGTTTCTTTGGCATAAGTTTGTGTTTTTAATGATAAAATTATGTTATGAATAAGGAAGGTAACATTTACAGCTAGGGTGAAAGTTAAATAGTTTTTTTTTTGGGGGGGGGGGGCTTGTTTTCAAGCCCATTTTCTGAGTAGCTGTGAAGAAACTTGACTCTCCCCCAACTGCAAAACAGTACAACATATGGGGGGGATTGTACATTTTAGGCAGGGGGTTTAACCCTCTCCTTGTAAATCAAGCCCAGATCATATCATTAAGAGGTAATTTCAAATTTTCCTTAATATCAGACCCTTTTTTTCAGTACATAATCCGTGATATTTGATATCAAAAAACAGAATCCTGTATTGAAAAAAATCCCAGTATGTGCCAAGTGTCTAGACTAGGAGAAAACAAGAATTTATTATTCTCTGCATTAAATACAGACCTTTGTATTCAATCACTTATATATATATCAAATTTTCTAATGACTTTTTTTTTTCATCAAACAGTAATAGTGAAGCTTTCTGATAACCAAAGGTTAGAGATGAAAACCAAATTATGACAATAATTCAGATTTAGTCTTCGCAAAATCTGTTTAACACAATAAAAAATGCCAATTTAATTACATAATATATATATATTTTTTTTTACATATAAATTAATCTTTAAAATCTTAAATTTCAACACGTGTACATGAACTGTTAGGAACTTATCTTAATCTCTGTTCAATATTCATTTGTAAAAACTGACAGACTACGTAGTTCAACAGTTTTTCAGTGACGTAAAAACAAACTTGTTTCTGTACTTATTGAACGAAGGCTATCGTAACTGAATAAGGAATATACTTGATATATATTTGAAAACATTAACGACAACTTACTCCTGGGAACACCCTAACCATCTTCACGGTAGCCGACTGTAGTTGAAGCAAGGCTAAGCCGTTGTTTCCTAACTCAACAACAAAAAGGGGATGTTCCACAGCTTCTTGGTTAGCAACTGGTTTTATCTTAAGTTCTGTTGTTATATCCGAACTTTTGAGACCCAGCGACTAGAATAATAATAAGAAAATGTTTAACTTTAAAACAACTTATTTCACATTTTAGAATGACTAAAATATTACTGTCACAGGCGTAATAAACTACCGAAACTTTTATTCTTTGCTATTTTTACAGAAAATCTAGTTAGTTCTGTAGAATTTTCATACACAAGGGTTATCTGAATAACCAATCGTAATTTTAAAATGACAGACTAGAGATAAGGCAGCTAGTCAACAGCACCCACCTCCATCGCTTGCCTCACCAAATAATTGGAATTGACTGTCACTCCTATAGTGCATCTATAACTTCAAATCGCAGAGTTCATTTCTGTGGTAATGGGGGTGCAAACCACGAATCATCAGATTCACAATCAAAAACATTAACTACTAAACCGAGCCTGGCCCTTTCCAGACTCTTACTAAACATGTTACAGATCCTATATTCCTTCACAGCATTCAACTGGATTTCTACACTCCATATGGCAACTGGATCTCTTCAAAGAAATAAACTATAATAACGTCCTACCTCTAGGCTCAGTTACGGATAAAACAATCCAAATCGTACTTTATTTTCCTTACAGAAATTTGTGACCAGCTCTGGAGCTGGCAGGAAAATCCAACATGCACATAGAAAATATGGTGATTATAAAGAAAACCTCATATTTCACCTAAAGTTTTATTCAGGATTGGATATAGTGTTTTAAAACCATAATATACTGTATAATAAAATCATTTTGTTTTTCTGACAAACCATTATTGCTTTTTTAACTCTCTCACGTTCAACAATATGAGGTTAGTAATTTGAATAAAAAGGTGTGTCAGTGGACAGAATATTGTGAAGATCAATGACCACAACCCACGATTTTTGAAACATCTTGTCCCATCTTTAAACTTTCCTTTAAAGTAAAGTTTGTAAGTTGGATACAAAACAAGAAAAGATAAGTGTATGATTTTACTCATGTTTGATTAATTACAGCCCAGAATAAAATTTATTATCTGTATCATTGAAATCAAGACACGTTTTGATAAAATTCAGTTTCACCAATTGTTCAAGAGTGGCTATTTTTTTTTTAAGGACGAATTAAAATAAAACGCAACTGCCTATCTGTTACTAGATATTTACTGTTTCAATCTTGAGGAGAGGAAATGGGAAAACACACATATATATACAAGTGTGGAAAGTAATTACCTACAGTCAGTAAATGGGAAAACACATATATACACAAGTATGGAAAGTAATTACTTACAGTTAGTAAATGGGAAAACACACACATATATACACAAGTGTGGAAAGTAATTACTTACAGTCAGTAAATGGGAAAACACATATATATACACAAGTGTGAAAAGTAATTACTTACAGTCAGTAAATGGGAAAACACATATATATATACAAGTGTGGAAAGTAATTACTTACAGTCAGTAAATGGGGAAACACACATATACACAAGTGTGGAAAGTAATTACAGTCAGTACATGGGAAAACACACATATATACAAGTGTGGAAAGTAATTACTTACAGTCAGTACATGGGAAAACACACATATATACAAGTGTGGAAAGCAATTACTTACGGTCAGTAAATGGGAAAACACACATATATACAAGTGTGGAAAGTAATTACTTACATTCAGTACATGGGAAAACACACATATATACACAAGTGTGGAAAGTAATTACTTACAGTCAGTAAATTGGAAAACACACATATATACACAAGTGTGGAAAGCAATTACTTACAGTCAGTATATGGGAAAACACACACACATATATACACAAGTGTGGAAAGTAATTACTTACAGTCAGTAAATGGAAAACAAACACACATATATACACAAGTGTGGAAAGTAATTACTTACAGTCAGTGAGGCTGATGATGAATAACCTCCTTCCTCAATCAAGATGACGTGTACAGTTCTTGTGACGGGTTCAACGCATGCCAGATGCTTGTGGCTTACAAATTCACAGCTTGAATGTACACACACAAAAATGTCGTACTTTACTAAACTACCTTAATTTAAAATCTCATCTAATGGCAACTAGTTCTAGAAAATCTATCTTTAAAAGCTAATAGAACATAAATTTCAGACAGGAAATTTGATATTTTATCAACTGTAGTAAATTCAATACCCAATAACAACTCTTAGCACATAAAATACCCATTTTTTAAAATATTTCAATATAATAAAAACAGAACAGAACGGACAATTGCAGAACTCTGAAAATGATAAACAGTAAAGTAAACTAGTCACTATTTTTTTTGTTTCTTGAACTTTTGTGGAGTTTTTAAGTATTGCTACAGATACGGCCAATATTACCTCCTGATATAAACTTCTCTCAAAAATTCTTTTGTTTATATATATACAAGAAAAAACAATGGAAATATGCAAATAGTCCAGTCTTCCCGTAGATGAATGAGGGGCTAACAACGCAAAAAGGAATCATTATCCTATAACCCAGCCTTAAAGAAAATACCACTTTAACCAGTAATATATCTTCTGAGGATGCGTATCAAGCCGAGATACCTAAGAACCAATAACAGTCTACTCGAAAAGTGGTAAAACAATGGAGCTTGTGAAAAATTACAATAAAAAAAAAAGGTAACATTCAAAGTTGTCTAACTGTAATGTTGAATAAAAAGATAACTTTGCCAGATTCACTGTTGAACGAAGAATAATCTAAAGACTGAGTTTAACACAGCAGTAGATCTACGGTGCCCACGAACACCTAGTGTTAATAGCAGCACGATCAATGGTTTTAATACAGCAGTAGATCTATGGTGCCCACGAACACCTAGTGTTAATAGCAGCACGATCAATGGTTTTAATACAGCAGTAGATCTACGGGGCCCACGAACAACTAGTGTTAACAGCAGCACGATCAATGGTTTTAATACAGCAGTAGATCTACGGTGCCCACGAACACCTAGTGTTAATAGCAGCACGATCAATGGTTTTAATACAGCAGTAGATCTACGGCTGTATTAAAACCATTGAT